TTCTCTCTGTCTCAAATAAATAAATAAAATCTTTAAAAAAAAAAAAATCTGTTACAGTTACTTTAACAATGATCATTAGGTTACAGACTAACTCAGAATTTGTATCTGGAGCACAACTACTCCTTCATATTTTGCTGAATTGTTTTGCTGGGTGGGGCTTATAAAGGTGCCACACTATACACTTGAAAGCTAGCAACTCTGAATGGTTTTTACTTCTTGGCCCTCTCAACTATTTTCAAATGAAGTTAGTTTTAATTATCAGCAACCTCTAGAGGTCAGTGTAACCCAATATATAAATTCAGCTTTATGGTCATTAAGCTATAAACTAACTTTCTGTTGTGGTTCTTCCCAGATTTGGTACCTAATTATATTACAATACTTATAGGCAGGGATCATGCATGGCAACTGAGAGCTATGTTTGTCATTGTATTGCCACCTGTGTGTAAGAAGAAAGGGAAGGGAAGCTGATACTAGAGATTAGGCATTAGAAGTAGTGAAATGCAGTGTAATCCCCCACTTTTATTGTAGAGATGATTTTCTTCAATCAAACGTAACGTCAGAAATAAAGACAGATTCTGCCAGGCCTTAAACATCTCCCTAGTAGCAGCTGTTATTTGTTTTTAAGGCCAATAAACTTTTTACAACACTAAGCAGTACCTATGCACTTTCTCATAGGCTCATGGGACAGAGTAGAGGCCGACAGTTGAGAGGGTCACAAGAATCTTTCCAAAAACTATACTTACATACTAGACAACTAGGAAAATCTTTCTACCACTGGGGGAAAAGTTTACCTAATTTCTAGACATGTTAAAAGAAGACAAATTAAAATATGTCTAAAAGAGTTACTTACCTCATTATGTAGTGAACAGAAAACACCCCAGAAAAGAAATGTACATGGCAAAGTATAACTCTCCCAGTAGTTATTTGTGACTCTATAAACTATCTGTGAGCTCTTGTTTTCCAAGCTATAGTTGCTGAGGATTTTGGTTCTGAGTTCTTTGATAGAGTTTGTCTCTAACAAGAGGTTCTTTGGTTTTAAATCTTAAGTCAGAAAGGCTAAAACTGGGGCACCTGAGTGGCTCAGATGGTTAAGCGTCTGCCTTCGGCTCAGGTCATGATCCCAGGGTCCTGGGATCAAGCCCCGCATCGGGCTCCCTGCTCGGGAGGGAGCCTGCTTCTCCCTCTCCCACTCCCCCTGTTTGTGTTCCCTCTCTCGCTGTGTCTCTCTCTGTCAAATAAATAAATAAAATCTTAAAAAGAAAAAAAAAAAGGCTAAAACTAATCTTACCTCGATTCTTCGGTTACTGTACTTCATATCAGAAATAGAAAACTCTATAACAAGAAAAAATAAAATAGATATTCTTAATAATAGAGTGAACGCAGTAGGTCTTAAGCCAGAGTTGGAGATGGAGTGATCTTGGTGCTAACATTTGAGGAAAAGTTAAAATTAAGAGTTTTTCGAGTTGTAATCCACATGGAATGATTATAGAAAACTTAAGGCTTTAAAAAAAAAAAAATGAAAAAAGGGGCCCCTGGGTGGCTCAGTTGGTTAAGCAACTGCCTTCGGCTCAGGTCGTGATCCTGGAGTCCCAGAATTGAGTCACGTATCAGGCTCTCTGCTCAGTGGGGGATCTGCTTCTCCCTCTGCCCCTTCCTGCATCAAATAAATGAATAAAAATCTAAAAAAAAAAAACCACTTAAGGCTACCACCACAGAAGGGGGATGCTGTTTTATATATAATGTTGTTTTTTATATACAGTTGACCCTTGAACAACATGGGTTTGAACTGCGTGTGTCCACTTATATGTGAGTTTTTTTCAATAAATACAATAGGGTACTGTAAATGTATTTTCTTTATGATTTTTAAAAATATTTTATTGATTCATTTGAGAGAAAGAGAGAGGAGAGGAAGGAGTAGAGGGGGAGGGAGAAGGAGAGGGAAAGAATCTCAAGCAGACTCTGTGCTGAGCATGGAGCCCGACATGGGGCTCAATCCCATGACCCCGAGATCATGACCTGAGCTGAAACCAAGAGTCAGACCCTTAACCGACTGAGCACCCAGGTGCCCCCTTATGATTTTCTTAATAACATTTTCTTTTCTCTAGCTCACTTTATTGTAAGACTACAGTATATAATACACATACAAAATATGTGTTACTTGACTGTTTATGTTATTGATTAGGCTTCCAGTTAACAGTAGGCTATGAGTAGTGAAGTTTTTGGGGAGTCAAAAGTTATACATGGATTTTCTATGTCAGTGTCCCCAACCCCCACATCGTTCAAGGGCCAACTGTAAATGTATATTATATATATAATATACATATTATATATATACACACATAACATTTGTATATATGTGTGTATATTTACATTTACATTCATATTCATAATGATACTTATATTTATGTTTATGTTTATATTCTGGTAGGAAATACAAGCTTTCTGGATCAGAGAAGAGAGCATTCATTACGCACAAAGCATCATAGCACCAGTTTCCCACACTCCAATTCCCCACAGGGCAACACAGTGAGCACCATGTTTACCTGTGGAGAAGCACCACAGAAGTGAACCCTGAGATTATGAGACTCAGATTGATTGGTACTTCGACCCATCTTTCTCTCCCAAGAAAGAGAGACCTTTACTATGAAATGTAAGCAAATGTCTCCAGGAGAAAGGGGAAATGTATCTCTGGGTTTTATTATCCTGGAATGTAAGCAAACAGCTCCTGAGGAAATAAATGTCTGAATCTCTCTGGAGCAGTACACTAATTCTAATTTCCAAGACATGTTTATCATGCAATCATCTTTTAACCTCATTTCCTAGTGCTTTTTGTTCATAAAGCCTGGACCATACAGAACTGTGGAAATAAATATTCATGTATAATAGGAGACGGTTGTTTGAACTTAAACATGGGATAGATCATAGATGGGATTTACTACGTTGTGTGGACCTAGTTGTTGTCCTCTTACCAAAAAGTCAGAATCGTCCCTAAAGTCCCGCCCACCACCACAGCTTAAAGTTGAAACCAAAAGTTCCCACGTGTCCAGGGTCAAAGCAGGTCACATTAATGGATGAAGTGGGACAGATAGGGATAGGAGTAAGCTGAAATTATGTGCCCCAACTAAAAAGACATCCACTACACAGTTCCAAGTGATGCTGTCCACTCCAGATGGATAATCTAGTACTGCTAGATTCTCCAGTTGTCAAGAGAAGCCAGAGAGCTGGAGACTGTATGTGAAATTTCCCTCTTACCCCCTTTTTTTAGAACAAAATATATTGCAGGTCCACCTTAGCCACAGGCTGCCATTTTGAAATTTGACTTAGAAACAGACCTCTCGGGGCGCCTGGGTGGCTCAGTCGGTTAAGTGTCTGCCTTCGGCTCAAGTCATGATCCCAGGGTCCTGGGATCGAGCCCCGCATCGGGCTCCCTGCTCAGTGGGAAGCCTGCTTCTCCCTCTCCCACTTCCCCTGCTTGTGTTCCTGCTCTCGCT